TCCAGCTCCGACGCCTCCTCCGCGGCGCGCCGCCGCTGCGCCGCCTCCTGCTCCGCGAGCGACGCCGCCATAGCCTCCGCCAGCTCCGCCGCCTCGCGCCTCTCGCGCTCGCTCGCGCCGCCCTGCTGCGCGGGGCTCGTCGCGCTCCTGCCCGGCGACGCTGCGGCCGAAGGGAAGCTTACTTCCACCGGCACAACATCTCGCCCGCGTGCTGGCGAGCTCTCCCGCGAGCGAAGGACGTTGACGATGAAGGTCTGCCCAGGCAAGAGGCCCGGCGGCACCGCCGCCTTGAAGTACCGCCCGGTCCGCGGGTTCTCAAATTGTACCTCCATGCCCGGACGGACGCCAGCCGGCATGACGACGCTCACCCGCTCGGTGCGCTGCGCCCGCGAGTCTCGCTCGGTGGAGGAGGAGCGCCGGGCGCCGCTGCTGCTGCTGCCCGAGCTTCGGGGGCTTCTGCTGGCCGCTCTGCCAAAGATGCGCTGCATGGGGCCAGGGAGATGCCTGTCTCTCCGTTCCGCCGCGGCGCCACCAGGCGCCCGCCCCGGCGGTGAGCGACGCAGTTCCGAGTGTCGGCAGGCCACACGTTTCGCGATCAATCCCAGCGGAGCGCTCGCTTATTTTTCTGAGGGCCTTCCTTATTTTTCTACTCTCGAGTGCCAGCGTTGTGTGTTTTGAGCTGCCGCCACAAAAACGGTATGGCGGTGGAGTGCTCTCTACTCCCGCGGCGCCCCTGTCGGTTCGGAGGCGCCCGGCGGCCGCGCGCTTGGTGCCGACGTCGACCGGCTGCTCTCGCGGCGCCGAGACGTGCCGCTTTGGTCACGTCTCGCGCGCTGCGAGGTGTCTTTTGGCATGTGAGCGCTTGCCAAAGACGCCAGCAAGCTCGCCTTCCTTGCCTGCGGCCGCGGGCGTGCGGGCGGGCCCGCCAGGCTCGGCGAAGCTCGGCGCGGGTCTTCGAGCTCGCCGCCGCCGGCGAGCCAGCATGGCTCGTCGCTCGACGGGAGCCTGTCCAGTATGCTCTGGGCATGCTGTACAGCATCGCCAACTCTCTGGGAGGGTCTACAGGGACAGGGCGGGCCGTCTCGGGCACGATGGCGCGCTGAATAGTACCACGACTACCAGCTCTCCGATCGGGCCGCCGACAGCGGGCTTGCGCAGCGCGCCGCTCGACGGCAGGCTGCTCCCCACCCTTCCATCAGCATCTGATGCCTCGCATCTCTCGCTGCGACCGCATCCGGGGGCCTGCGCCGACCGCCTCGCTTCGCCAGCAGCGCTGCCTACCCGGGTATGACTGCGGCACGCACGTCGGCTCGCCGCCCGCGTCGCCCGCGGCGGGCCCGCATAGCACGCCGCTCGTCGGGGGAAAGCCAAGGAGGTTGTGGAGTACAGGCTGCCTCGCTCAGACCGCCTCCGACGCGGCGGGGGGCCGCGCTACTGCGGGGCTCCTGCGCTGTGGGCTTCACCATCGTGTCCTGACTGCGTCGCCGACGCCACCTGCCGCTCGCCGCTGCCTTGCACTTCCCTGCCGTCAGACACACACACACACACACACACACACACACACACACACACACACACACACACACACATTATTAATAATCGGGTAATAATTATTAATTACTAATCCTCGGGCGGCGGAGCGGCGCGGCGGCGGGCGGCGCGAGGCGGCGGCGCGGCGAGGCAGCGGGCGGCGCAGGGCGGGGCGGCGCGGCGGCGGGTGGGGTAATTAATTATTTGTTAATTAATTATTAATTAATAATCATCGGGCGGCGGCGCGGCGCGGCGGCGGGCGGGGCGGAGCGGGGCGGCGAGACCATCTGCAGTTACCGGGCCTCTGGTCATTGGAGAGCGGCAACGGTCGCGCCGCCCTCGACTCAAGGGGCTGCCTTCCAACCGTCGCTGCTCAGGCCGGGGGAGGGGGGGAGACCTCCTGTTCCTCGCGGAACGGGAGCAGGCCCCTCCTTGCCCGGTCTGCGATGCAGGGCGGTGGTCGTGCCATCTTCGCTTCGTACTCGAAACCACCACGCCGCAACCGTCGCCGGCGCGCGACACGTTCCCGTAGGCCGGACTGTCCTCGTCGAGAGTGTGTGCCGCCAAGGCGGGACACACTCAGGGGCAGTGCCGACGGGACGCGGCTCGAAGGGTGTGGCTCCGCAGCGCGGCTGGCATTCGTCGCAGAGGCCTCACCTTCGAAAAGTCGGGCATGGCTCTCCCCGCAACTTTCTCGCTAACACGCGCGCACCGCCGAGCCTGCGGCGGGCGCGCTGCGGCCACACGTCTAACTTCGTCGTAGTGCCACGACGTGCGGCCTAGATTTAGCCCACGCGCCTCTGCTCGCAAACACTCACCCATTGAATTGTCACTGCCCGTGAGCGCGAGATAGGGCTAGCAGTAGGCAGCTAGCCTCTGAGGAGGGCGTCCATAGACACCTCACTAGACCCCACACACGGTCTCATCCGTGCCTCGCCGGCCGGCGAGATTGCTAGAGGTGGAGCATGCTGCTCTAGCCTCGCATGTTACCTCCTGTCGTCTGTTGTGATGTTGTGCCCTTGTTTGTTTCTCTTGGCACCTTGGAGTGCTGGGGGGGGCGACAGGAAGAATGTGGCCCTGAGTTATGTGTACGCCAACTCAGGGTGTGTGGCAGCCAGCTGGCTGTGTGTCTTGTGAGCTTGTTTGTGTCTGTGTCGCTCGTGCGTGCCGTCATCATCTGTCTAGCGTCCACCCATACCGCGTTGGTGTCCAGTCCGAGCCTGGCTGTTCTTCACCTTTCTACCTACCTACCTGTGTTTGTGTGTATGTGTCACACACACGAGTGCCAGCGCGCGCCAGTCCGTGCCCAGCGTCGTGCGAGGGAGTTTTGTTGTAAAATAATTTCTCTCGTGAAAGCACGCCCAACCTAGCGGAATGGGGCCCCCGAAGGCAAGTGCGTCTGTTCACAGCTCACGAGAGTAATTATTTTCGGGGGTAAGTGGATGAGCTTCCTTTGCGAATTCCCCGAAATTTTCGCGCACTGGCGAAATGATTTATTCCCTAAGTGCCACAGGTGTGTGTTCTTTTTGCTTGGGGCGGCACTCATGATGAAATTCTGGAAAAACCCGGCCGGCCTCTCCCCTGCCCCTACCTACCTACCTACCTACCTACCTTACTTATGGAAACTAAAGAAATCACGATGGTGAAGGTGTGGTACTATAGTCTATCGTGATGGTTGGTGGTACTCTCCTGCAACCACAGTCCTTCTTGTGACATGGCAGGCCACTCTCAAGCCCTACAAGCATCAGATCACCCATTTGGGGAGGGTTGACATCGTGATTTCCGCGGAAAATTTCTTTTTTGGAAAATTCCAGCTTGAAGAGAGGGAAAAACCCGACGGGAGGGCCCAGACCTACCCTACCTACCCCGTTACGAGTGCCGCCCAAGCAAGAAGAACTCATACCTGTAAGTGCAAAAAGAAAAGTGTGAGGGATGTCTGTGAGCCCGAGAGCGATATGCCATGTCCGCCTTGCGTTGTTTCATAACATCGAAGGCTAAGCTCAAAAGAAAAGTCCGGTGTCGAAGCGTGTCGTGGTTCGGCCGCCGGACAGCTGGCTTGCTCGTGGCGATCAGTGCAAAGCTGCGCTCAAATGCCCACCGACGAGGAGGAGGACGCCGACCGCATCGACGCGCTCCGCTCGGCGCTGGAGCTCCCCTTCTACCTCTACGAGGGGCCGTCGTTCGACGACGGCTCGTGGTTCGAGGCGTGCTCGCGTGGGCTGCGCGGAGAGAGGATTGAGGAGGACCAGTACTCCGGAGAGCACTACTGGCTTGCGCAGCTGCGGAGGCACCGCTGGCGCGTGGCGCAGCCCTCGGCTGCCCTCCTCTTTGTCGTTCCGCTCTACCTCAACGCAGCGCTCCAGCCGTCTGTGAAGGGCGCATCGTGCAACGGGACGCACTTTCAGGTGCTGCTCGATGCGACGGCAGCGGCGGTTGCGGCGACCGAGCAGTATGCGCGACATGACGGCGCAGACCACGTCATCGTCAGCAACTCGTGGAAGCTGACGCAGACGCCGCCCGAGCAGGCGCCCTGGTCCAAGGTCGGCCAGCTGCCCAACGAGCTCTTCCGCCGGACCTTCCGCAACGCGATTGTCGGCCTCATTGAGAGAGCGACGCCGTCGCAAAGAGCTGTGAACGGCGTCTCTTCACCCCTCCGGCCGTGAACAGGCCACATGGAGAGCCATGGCGTCGCCAAGCCGCCGTCGTCCGCCTTTTGGCGCTGCTCCGTGGTGTCGCCGTACGTGGCCAACTACGACGAGGCGGCGGCCGCGCACCGGCGGCCTCCCGCCTCCAAGGAGCGGGACGTGAGCTTTTACTTTCAGGGCGGCGCAAACAACCGCGGCACCCGCGGCTACGCCTTCCGCCAGGCCGCGCTGCCGCAGCTGCAAGACCTGCCGGCGGCGCACATCTCCGCCTTCTCGCTGCCGGGAAAGCCGGCGGCGTGCGGCGGCGCCGTCAGCACAAACTGCCGCGCGGGACGCTCGAGCGGCGCCTTCCGATCTCTGATGGCGAGGTCGCGCTTCAGCCTCGCCAGGTATGCCAGTCGGCGCGCTCAAGGAGCCCCTCGCTGATTAGGCGAGGTCGCGCTTCAACCTCGTCTTGAGAGGCGACTCGCCCCGCTCGCGGCTCGATCTCGGACCATCTCGGATCATCTCGGCACTTCTCGGGTCCTCTCGGCGTCCTCTCGGCGTCCTCTCGCCCTCACCTCGCCCTCACCTCGGCCTCACCTCGGCCTCAGGCGACTCGCCCTCCTCGCGCCGTCTCTACGACGGTGTGGCGGCCGGCGCCCTCTCTGTCCTGATCTCGGACGAGCTCTGGTCGGTCGGCTTGCCCTTCCCGTGCCTCATCCCTGTGGCGGAGGGTGGCGAGGGTGTGTGAACGGCGCCTCTTACACAGGCAGCCGCCGTGAACAGGTGCCTCGTCCCATGGCGAAAGATCGCCTTCACCATCGCCGAGCGCCCCTTCCTCTCCAGCACCGGCGCGGCCGCAGTCGTCGGAGCGCTCGACAAGCTGTCTCCCGCCTCGCTCGGAAGGACTCAGCGGCTAGCCAACAGGTTCCGCCGCGACCTGATTTGGAACACCAACGGCTCTCGCGTCGCCGAAAATCTGCTTATCACCGCGGCGCTGCGCTGTCTGCCCGCGCACGTCGTCCGCCGCGCCGCCGCACGCGCCGCCGCCCTCGCCGCCGCCCTCCGAGCGCTGCGGCAGCACTGCCCGAACGGCGACACCTCCGTCGCGTGCGTCGCTCCCGACGCGTCCAACTGCGCCGGATGCGAGACTGGGGACCTGGCTTCGGCGACGCCGATCGAGCACTGCTGCGCCGACTCGTGCCCGCAGTGCAGGGGCCTCCCCGCCCGAAACCGCTCCTCCGCCTCCCGCGCCGCCAACCGCTCCGCCTCGCGAGCCGCGGCACGGTGCGTCCCTGCGGACGTGTACTACGGCGAGCCGATGCGGCACGACGCCTCGCGGCGCGGCGCGATCGCCGCGTACCTCGCCCAGGCGGACAAGGACGCGCCCGAGGCGCTGCAGCGCTGGCGCAAGCTGGCGGGCCAGGCGCGGCCCGGCTCAGGCGGAGGGTCTGCGGGCGGCCGAGGGAGGCTCAAGGCAAGGGGCGACGAGGCGAGCGGGCTCAAGCCGCGCGGGAGGGGAGCTGCGGTGGGGAGCTCTCGACGGCCGCTGAGTACGTAGGTTAACCCTAAGACGTGAAAGAGGGCTCGACTGAGCTCTTAGCCCAGGGCCATTGGGGTGATGCGTGATGGCGGACCGAGACCGGTGTCGCCGACGGAGACGGTGTGCTATGGCGAGGCGGTGCGGCGGCCGCAAGTGCGCACTGGCGTCCTAGGAAGTACTAGGATGTAGGAAGGCTCCCCACACCAGAGTGGAGAGCCTTCCTGCATAGTGATTAGTGAATAGTGAATATAGTGACAGACCCTTCGAGGTTTCATTGCCTCGAGGGCCGAGGCGGCGGAGGAGCGCGCCCGTGCGCCGGTCAACTTCCTTCTCCAAGAACGGCACTCGCACACCACCTGTGCTTGAGCTGTTCGCGTACGCCGCCCACACGTCGCGGGGTGGCACGGCAGATTAACGTCGGCACGAAGGTCGAAGGGCCGGACAACGCGACCATCTCGGCGGTGACCTACAACACGATCGCCCAGGCGCTCACGGCCGACAACAAGCCTGACCCCAACGGCTGTGGGCGCGTCAAGCTCTTCGACTGGATCCGCCGCAAGCGACGACCGGCCCTGACCTCCTACCCGTCGCTCGCCTCATCATGGGCACGCCCAGCTTCATCCGCCTTGTCAAGGCCGGCGCCTTGCCTTCCGCCGACGGCGATGACCTGGACTTCTCCGCCGCTGAGCCCTGGTCTGACAGCCTGGACAGCAAACCCCGGACAACGCCTGACAGTGCCCGACAGCCTGACAGCGCTGACAGCACTTTCTCCGACAGTCTGACAGCACGTATCTGACAGCCTGACAGCAGAGTCTGACAGTCGAGGTGCTCCGTCGCTGTCAGGCCCTAACGTGACAGCCTGACAGCTGCCCGACAGCCCGAAAGCACACAGTGGCCTGACAGGCAGCGCCGACAGCCCGACAGCAGCACAGACCGTACACAGTCAGACCCCGTAGAGCCTCTTTCTTGTGCCCCATGAGGGTATAACAAAACTATTACATGCAAAGACATGTGAGTGTGGTCCATGTAGTCATGGGATGGTCATGGGTCAGGGTCTCTCTCTCAACCCTCCCGCCCCACCTCTGCGGGGACCCCCCTCTCTAGCACGGCGGCTGTGCTACTACAAATGAAGCTACCAGCTAGCCTTCTGGGGCCCTACAGTCATATGCCTACGGCGTCTGGGTGGGATTTGGCCGCCGCCGTCTGTGCCGCCGCCGCCGCCTGCGCCTGCGCCGCCATATGCGCTCCCCAGGCGGCCGCCGCCGCCGGCGTGATCACGCCGTGTAGGAGGAGAGGCTGAGAGTATGTGTAGTAGAGTCCTGCTGGTCTCCTCTTGATAGTGTCATAAGTGTGGCTGGTGTGTGTCAGAGCCTGACAGCACCCCGACACCACCACCTAACATGCGAGGCTAGAGCAGGCTGCTCCGCCTCTAGCAATCTCGCCGCCAGCCGCAAGGCATGGACGAGACCGTGTGTGGGGTCATGTGAGATGTCTATGAATGCTCTCCTCACAGCGGCTAGGATTACCCCGAGGAAAAGAATTCAAACTGCATCCGCCTGCATCAACGTTGACGTCGGCTCGCCGCTCACCTGCTGGCCCCCCCGGCCATTCCCTCGAACCACCAGCCCGACGCTCACTACAAGTGACATGGCAGCGGCAATGCTCGCATCCATCCCCTCAAAGGACGAGCTATACGACTATGCGGCTCGCGCCTACGACCCAGATACTCGCGTGCCTCTCGTCGAGGCTGTGCTCAACAAAGTAGGAGCCGACAAGTACCTCAACGAGAAGCAGGCGCTCACCACATATGAGCTTGCGCCCAACACACGCCGCTCAACCGTGCCCGTAAGCTTGCGCCCAACACACGCCGCTCAACCGTGCCCGTAAGCTTGCGCCCAACACACGCCGCTCAACCGTGCCCGTAAGCTTGCGCCCAATACACGCCGGCACCCTGCGTCGCCGCGTCGCCACACAGGTCGAGGCGCTCGCCACGTGCACGACCGCCGCCGGCCTCGTCAAGGAGGCGCCGGCGCTGCTCGAAAGGGCGGCTCCCCGGCTGTACGAGAAGGGGAGCGGCCTGTTTGAGAAGAGCAAGGAAAAGTACGAAGAACTCGTGCCCGTCGTCGCGGAATACAAGGAGGCGGTCGCGGCGCGCGTCACTCTCGCCCGCGAAGGCGCCGACGGACGTGCCGCCGTCCTCGCCGAGGGCAAAGAGCTCGCCACCGAGCGGATCGTTGTGCCGGCGAGGGCCGCCGCGGCTCCCTACATTGCAAAGATCGCCGACCGGAAGGCGGCGCTGGTGGAGAAGAAGGAGGCGCTGCTTGCCGACAAGCGGCTGGCGCGCGCCCTCGACGCGCTGCACGAGGCCCACGCGCACCGGGCCTGGCCCACGCGCACCGGGCCTGGCCCCCGCGCACCGGGCCTCGCACACGGGAGGCCAGTTGACAGCGACACGACTCGTGTCATCACAGAGGCCGGTGGGGTGAGGGGGGGTGGATGGGGGGTGGGGGGGGCGGGGGGGTCTGCCCGCCCACGCGCACCGACCTTTGCTCTCTCGATGCGCGTTGGGGCTCCTGCCCTCAGGCGCGCGCCCACCCCGTCGCCACGGCCGAGGCACTTCGCGAGACGGCGTGCGACCTGCTGCAGTACGAGAAGCTGGTCGCGCTCCGGCGCGAGGACTGGCCGACTGCGCCTCACCGTGAGTGAAGACGCGGTCCTTGGTCGCTAGGTCGCGTACCGCGAGTACGTGCTGAGCGACGCGTTCGCGCGCGACACGCGGCGGCTCGTGCAGGCCGGCCTGCATGGCCTGCAAGACGTGGCACTCTTACAGCGTGACTAGCGTGTGTGGTGATGACGGTTGGCGTGCCAGGGCCTGGCTAAGCATTGATCTCCTGCACTTCGGCTCCGCTCGGCAGGGCGACGCATGAAGGTGCATCATGGTTCTTGGTGTGTGTGCTAGGAGGACCTCCCTTCGCTCGCGCGCGGCGCGGCGCAGCACAGCCTCGACCGCTTCGTCCGGATGTGAACAGCGTTTCTTCACACCTCTGGCTGTGAACAGGCGCAGCACAGCCTCGACCGCCTCCACGCCGCCACCGCCGCTCTCTCGGAGGAGCTCGCCGACGGGAAGGTGCCGAGCAGCGCATCGCTCGCGAGCGGCTAGTTAGCTTGAATGAGCCGGAGGAGCCCACCGATCACCGACGGCACCATGAGCGGCTTGTGGAGTAGTCATTAGCTGTCGTCGTAGTGGGGGGGAGCTACTCCTCCGACGGTCTCGCGCAGGTGTCGGGCGCGGCACGCGCGGCGGTGCAGCGGCCGGCGGAGCTGCTCGCCGACGTGCAGTCGCTCGACCGTCTCGTCGCGCTGAGCGGGCGTGCGCGCGTGCTTCTCTCTGAGCTCACCCTGCAGGCGGGCCGAGATTACACGAGATTACACGAGATTACACGAGATTACACGAGCTTACACGAGCTTACACGAGAGTACACGAGCTTAGATACACACATAGCTCACCCTGCAGGCGGGCCGAGATTACACGAGGTTACACGAGATTACACGAGATTACACGAGAGTACACGAGAGTACACGAGCTTAGATATACACATAGCTCCTGCAGGCGGGCCGAGATTACACGAGAGTACACGAGAGCACACGAGATTAGATATACACATAGCTCACCCTGCAGGCGGGCCGAGATTACACGAGGTTACACGAGATTACACGAGATTACACGAGAGTACACGAGAGCACACGAGATTAGATATACACATAGCTCACCCTGCAGGCGGGCCGAGATTACACGAGGTTACACGAGATTACACGAGATTACACGAGAGTACACGAGAGTACACGAGCTTAGATATACACATAGCTCCTGCAGGCGGGCCGAGATTACACGAGATTACACGAGATTACACGAGATTACACGAGATTACACGCGGCCGGCGAGTATTGCAACGAAGCGGCGATGTCAGTGACTGGTCGGCTGGCCAGGGGGGCTCTCTGTGCTGTCGCTGCGGTCGGCTAGTCACGGGTGGGCTCCTGACCACTTGTCGAGCTGCCCCTCTCTCTGTGTGTGTGCTCTCTGCAGGCGGCGCGGCTAGACTCGCTCCCGGTGCCGCGCGGAGCTCGCGCGCGACTCGAGTGGCCCGCCGCTGGTAGATGCGCGGTGGAGAGATCGAGGTGCGAGATCGAGGTGCGAGATCGAGGTGCGAGATCGAGGTGCGAGATCGAGGTGCGAGATCGAGGTGCGAGATCGAGGTGCGAGGACACCGGGCGGCGTGGGCAGATGAGTGAGCGAGACGGA